ATGCCCTGCACCGACGCTGTGGGCCTGGGATCTGATCCTCCCACTGACTTCAAAGCCTCCTCGAACCGCTACTTGTCTGTAAGCTAAGTCTTCCACGCCTTGTCTGGCGTCCTTCCGAATGAGGAAAGCAAATCTCGCTTTGCTTCTTCATACTTCCTCCGTGTCATTAAAATTGTCGCTTCCCAGAGCGATTTTTCGAAAATTAGGTTGTCCACTCGAAGGGCACAGAAATCAGCTAGAAATTGAGGCAGAGCATTGTCGACGGGCCAAGCTTTAGTTTGTGACCCCCCCCCCCCCGCTTCTCTGCACTTTCAGCTAAGGTCGACGTCTTCATCAGAGTTCATCAGCACTCAACAATACGCTGAACAAGACGCGCGTTCAAATTCAGGTCAAGAAACTTCGTTTTCAGGCGATCCATGCCTCCAGGTGCCAGGCGATGAAGGCAAGCTAGCATTTTTCAAGTACACTGTAACTGTTGCGGCGACCTTGTCACGCGATTTGTATCATGTTTGTGCCTGTTCTTGTTTCAGTACAAAACGCTAGTTCCAGGCCCACGTTCCCGTGCTTTGTATGACTTGTTCTGGCCCACGTATGCATGACTGTACATGTACTTGTCAAGGCACGTGCATGCAGCATAGTTTGGCGCTCTTTTGTGAATGTGTTTTTTCTTCTCCCACGGCGGTGGGTTATTGCGGCTTTTCTTGGACACGAGTGTTTTTTTCAGTTTTTGTTGTTCTCTAGTATTATTCTGGAAAGAGCGATTACTACAGACTCCTTTGTCCTATGATGTGTGCCACCTGTAGAGGTGAGATCGGACTTGTGACCTGTGTTGATAAATCGAAAGACTAGCCATGCATGTCGAAAGACTAGGATTCCCAATCTCTCGATTTATCAACACAGGTCACAAGTCCGATCTCACCTCTACAGGTGGCACACATCATAGGACAAAGGAGTCTGTAGTAATCGCTCTTTCCAGAATAATACTAGAGAACAACAAAAACTGAAAAAAACACTCGTGTCCAAGAAGAGCCGCAATAACCCACCGCCGTGGGAGAAGAAAAAACACATTCGCAAAAGCGCGCCAAACTGTGCTGCATGCACGTGCCTTGACAAGTACATGTACAGTCATGCATACGTGGGCCAGAACAAGTCATACAAAGCACGGGAACGTGGGCCTGGAACTAGCGTTTTGTACTGAAACAAGAACAGGCACAAACATGATACAAATCGCGCGACAAGGTCACCGCGACAGTAACGACCTTCCAGCAGGACAGGGTAAGCAGTTCCGCACCTTCTTTCCTTGGCTAGAGCTTCGCTGATTTTGTTGGTGTTTTCAGACCTGCTACCTTCGCAGCAACATGCGCCACAAGTAGCGCATTTTAGGAATTTGAGAACACTTTGTTCTTACCATCGTCAACTTCAGCAATTCGTATTCAGGAGAGATACCAGCATTCTTATACCCGAGCTTGCAGTCTTGACAAATGCCCAGGCGAACGATGTGGGACGGCACGAACTCCAGAAAACGAAATGCGCTCTGGGGCGGAATAGTGCGGAGCGCTATGAATTCGCTTGATGCGGAAGAGAGCTCCCAGAAAGTTCGAGACCACCACGGCTTCAGTGACAAGTAGACATTACGCAGGAAGGGTCACACCAGTGTTCAAACACAGAAAACAACGATTCCGAAAGTCTGATTAAGACGAGCCAAGTCACAAATATTGCGATGTGCGAAGCGACAGTTTTAATGACGCGGGGGAAGTAGGTACTGCAGCCAATACAGTTCCTTTTCACCGTGCTACGCGATAGAGCGATACGCAATCGCATCAGCCATTCGTTTTCGTCGAACTCGTTCTTGACCCAGATGTCCTCGAACAGGTCGAGATAAAGCTCCAGTAGCTGCCTTCCTTCGTATGTCAGGACTTGCATTAAAGGCCTACGCCCACCGCTGTGGCTGGGAGCTTCCGCTGTACCTCCCATCGACCTCACACGCGCGGCGTCACCATCACCCCCATACGCCCTGGCGATGCGCTCATTCATCTCCTTGAGCTTTTCGTTTAACTCTGTGTGGAGCGCACCCTCTTGCCGCCTGGCTCTGCGCTCTTCGCACTGTCGGAGCCTCTTCTCCACGTATTCCATCAACCTATCGCCTTCAAATACATACCGAACTCCATTCGCGATAAAGCTGCCTTCCAAATTATGTAGTGGCTCTGCCATGCTCGCTTCGATCCTGGCGTGGTTGTCAAATGTTGTGAACTCTTCTGATTCTCCAAAAGTCAGGAGCAAACAACCACACGGCACGAGGACAACTATTTACTCTTTAGCAGTATATTTCACTAGAACAACTAATAACTAACACTAAAACCATCAGATAGTTATAGAGTATTATGTAAATGACAGCGTATATCAGAAAAGCATACACATCCAACATACAACTACAGCGCACACAGCAAATCGCACGTAGCACATGTATCGTGTACCACGTCGTAAACATCAGCGGTACGACAGAGTCGAAATACTATTGCATTGAAACGAACACAATGTCACAAGCGAGAAGGCCTTTCACACTTGAGAACTTGTGGTTTCATAACATATGCTAGTATGTCCACAAAACTCAGTTGTATGTTGCACCCGCAATGGGAGAAGATTCTGCCTTTCCTACCTGTAATATTTGGGGCTGGAAAAGGCCAAGCAATTAAGAAGTTCAGCTAAGTCTAATGAGGTTAGTTCAGCGCACCTTTGCAAAAGGTATTGGTCTGACTTCTTAGAATTGGGGTGGCTTCATTGTTTTTGTGTCTATTTGAGCATCCCGGGTCAATTAATATGTGAAGAAAACAGGGGAGAGGAAAAAGAGATAATTAAACATTTCAGACAGCCTGCTAGAAAGAGACTCAACATAACCAAATACACAAATAGCAAAACAGCTAAACCAGAAAAAATCGGACCCGTTGGAAAGTGGCCTTCATCAAACCTAGCATCGAAGCTTTCACATATACAAGAAAACTGAAGGCAGCAATATTCTTATTATTCACTGTCCAACTGGGGACATCGTGGTCATTTTTTGGTAAGTGGTCAGCATTAGGGCCATAATCATTTTCGGCAAGTAGAAGCTTCAGCTGATTGTTGGAGTCATGGTCATTCGCAAACCCGACGAACCAAATAATAAATTAATTATCTCTGCACCAATAAACATGTAAAAACAATGCTATACTGGCTCTCAACGTCTGTTTAGCACAACTCCATGTGCAACTCTGAAAGACTCTGACTCACGCTGCTACCTGGGGCTTCACAAGGTGTTTGTCGCGCTGGAAACAAAGCGTCTCTGTAAGTTTGTATCCCTGGTAATGGTTTGGCCTGGAGAGCAGTATATAAGTGGTGCTTTTCAGGCACAATCTTCCGCAGCCTACTCAAGCTCAACTGATGAGGGTTGAATTCCCCGAAACACTGTGTATTGAGCAGGGAGTGGTGCTTTCTTTCAGGTTTGCTGAGCGAAAGGTGCGACGTGCTCCTCGTGTACTCCGGATGGCAGTCGTGAGTCAGTCAAGTGTAAAGTTCGGCAAGAAGCGTATGCACCTCGTTGGAGCAACCAACTTTAAAAATAATTTTTGTAATGAAAAACAAGAAATTCCAGAATTTCTCATGACTATTGTCTTTGCAACATCGACACATGAAACAACCAGATAAATTGCGAGAATAATATTTCAAATAGCGTAGGAATTTAGCAGCTCGTGGTTACACATAGCATCATTTACACCAGTAGGATGAAGGTGCCTGAAGACGACGCCCTCATAGTCGCTGGTGATAGCTGACGTAGCACGTTTCCCCCCGGTCAGAGTGAAGCCGGACATTTCACTACTCGCACATGCGAGTCCATTTCTTCTGGCCAACCAAGCAGCTTCCCTGGGTGGCCCACAACTTCACGTTTGAACTGCGATTGTTTGCTGATGGACGATTTGGTGTCAACTTCCTCGGTTATGCATCCGGTACGAAGCCGAGTTTGCGCGTCATCAGCTCTTCGGGTTTAAAAAATTTGGGCTGTTATTCAACGGAGTTTTGAGAACATGTTTTGTAATTCAGTCTACGAAATAGATCCATCCCTCCGATGGTTGTTTCTGATGTAAACATGGGTTTGCAAGGGAACCGGTGAAAGGGAAGAGGATTTTTGATATCGAAAATTAGTCTGCCATCCACAAGCATAATTATGGTGTCCAGTATTGCACCAAAGAAAAACTTCTGCGTCCCTTTAATGCGATAAATGGGTCTTCTTTATACCAGTTTGCTCTCCAGGTGGAAGCGCCGTAGAATCTGTCCGGGTTTCAAAGTATGAAGTTTTTGATGTAGGATTTTATAATGCTATGGTGTTATGATGTTGGATTGTCTGAAACCAAAGAAGATTCACGGAAGATAGCATTATTCCAAAGAAGCGTAACTCAACGACTTGACAGGTTGCTGGATTAGCAAGGATAACAGGGAGGATATCCCTGAACCTATGGATAGCCTTCAAAATCGCTGCTAACCTGTTGAAAAATATAATAAGACCACACCGCTTTTTAGCTATGTTCCGCGTCCCCCGCGCGCATGTATTTCACAGCCGGAGTTAAAAAACTGGAACAAACTTTTTTTGTTGAAAATGCAATACAAGTTGATTGCAAACCCAGAAAACCGGAAAATGTAACTCAAAAGAAGAAAAAACGGAACATGATTGTTTAATACACGCAACTATTATGTTATTATTACAGAGCCCAGTGTAATGGTGGAGGTGACTCAACATTAACTATTATGTTGGCATTAATTTTGTTCTATCTTATTTTCGCACTAAATTATTATTTTTGGCTACCGTTCTGCTTTCATTTCGCGTGGATATTTTTCTCAGTACGAGGACAGTCGTATGACACGTGGAACAAATTTATCCCATGACTGTACAGGTCGTCCCCCGTTAATACGAGTCCGGTTAGTACATATACCCCGTTAGTACATAAGAAATCTCAAGTCCCGGACGAAACGTGGTCACTTCCATACAAATTTTGTCGGTTGGTACATAATTCGTTAGTACATAAACCCCGTTAGTACATAACATTTCTACGTACCCGAATGTCATCTACCTCAATACAGACAATAGTACGTAGTTGCTGGTCTTTTGGCCTTCCAGTGGAGGCACATCGTGTTCTAGTTTCTACTTGTGCAAGTTAGTTTTGGACGCAATTAGCTCAGAAATCAGAGCGCACATCACAAACCAACAAAGCTCTGACTGCACAGGCGCGGCTGGGCATGTATCATGTAAACTGTAGAATCTTCGCTAACTGTGACCGTTATAACATAATTTTTATGTTATATCGGGGAATCAAGAATATCTCGCTGCCTAGTCGTGGTAGCAAGAAATACTCAGACACGTTTAAAAAAGTGAAATATTCCGGTACACAAACATGTTATGTACACTTTCGTTTAGTACATAAACCCCGTTAATACATAACATTTGTCAAGTCCCAGAGATTATGTATTAACGAGGGACGACCTGTTCTCAGCTCACACACATGTACATGTACATGACTGTGTATGTAATAAGCTGGGCCGCAGGTCACACAATCATCATGCCACCTGTGTTTGGACCACAAGCATAGCAGAGGGGATACACTCATGTATTCATGTACATGTCAATGTGCATGAACAGAGCCGCATCGCTTCACTGTACACAAATGCAATGCACGTACACTGTTTTTTTGGATGGCTTTTTTATTTTTTCCGCCCTCCCTCATTGATTTCATCGAATAAGGTGACGCGAAACAAAGAAAAAAACCCGGCGCGGACTAAAACTAATACTAATAATAATTTTCCAAAGTGGTCGGAGGTGGATAATACTTTAAAACGAAGGTAAGTTTTGGGTTGCAAGTATCCACGCAAACATACACCCAGTCATAATAAGGCAATTGTCAAAAGTATCCGAACGTTTTCGGTCCCTTCTCATCAAGGATTTTACAGGGAATGGCTCAAGTTGGAAAGACTAAAACTTATACAGCGTAAAGATAATGAGATAACAACACTCGTGACAAGGTGGAAAATTATCAAGTTCAGGCGAGGCAATGTTGTTCGTCTACGCTGTGGCGTAACCCGTTTGTTGGACACTAAATAATGTTATTTTCGGTTTTTTTGAGGGGTGTGCAAGTATCAAGGTTCCCTTCAGATAATTATACGCGGGCTTTGCGTAGTCAATCTTCACACCAAAAAAGAACCTACCTGTCACTAAAACGCAGGACTCTAAGTAGAGATCTTCAGTCGAGGCCAGCGTTGAACTAACCACTAAGCTATGGTGTAGTTATCATTGCAGCAGAGAACATTCACCATGATGGCACTTGTTTGTGGACGTATTCGCCTGTGTTGTGCGATTGCGGGCGACATATGTGTGAGTTTGAGTGTGTGTGTGTGTGTGTATGTGTGTGTGTGTGTGTGCGTGTGTGTGTACGAGTGTGGGGCGACATAATTTATTATGTGGGAGTTTGTGCGTGCGTGTGTGTGTGTGTCCGTGTGTGTGTGTCCATGTGTGTGTGCCCGTGTGTGTGTGCATGTGTGTGTGTGTGTGTGTGTGCTTGCATGTGTGTGTTTATATGTCAGAGTTTGTGTGTTATGTGTGTGTGTGTGTGTGTGCGTGTGTGTGTGTCCGTGTATGTGAGCATTGTGTGTGAGTGCGTGTGTGTGTGCGCGTGCGTATGTGCGTGTGTGCGTGTGTGTGTGTGTGTGTGCACGTGCATGCTTGAGTGTGTGTGTGTGTTTGTGTGTGTGTGTGTGTGTGTGTGTGTGTGTTAAACATTTGGGCATGTATGTGCATGAATGTGTGCACGCATGAATGCGCACATGCATGCATGTACTTGAACAGGCAAAGATCAACCTCCTGCAGGGTTTGAATCTTGGGGAACCAGGTACAATAACGTGTATCTCGGTAAGAGCATCATTCTTCACCTTCATATGCACAATATTGACTCTGAAACAGTGTATACACGATTTGCTCATCAAGTTTGCTTTTCATGGTTGAACCTTTCTTTGAATAGAGCAAAGAAATGAATGATCCGCGATCAGTTGAAATTCATTCCCAGGAGATCGAAAATTGTACTGCTGGGCCACAAACCATTTAATTAGCCCATATTACTCCATTGCCACGTGCAGGGATACATATCTTGAGGAGGGGATGAAGTGTTTCACGCGGCATCGTGCAGTTGCATGGGGATTTCGCAATGGCGATCACTTGCAGCTTTTATACCAGGGAGGCAGAAAGAGAGTTTTTTGTTTTGTTTTTGTGGTGTAGAGTAGAAGAAAAAATCACATCGGAACGATTTATGAAGCAACTATCTACGCTTTCAACAAGATAATAAGCAGTCAGAATGTGCGATAACAGGGCACAAAACTGACAGGCTACTGAGACATTTGTCTATACAGCAAGTTTTGAAGTCTGCAGTGCCGGCCCTTGTCTCACACCAGGAATTCGCTGATGACATCTTCCTATACTGCTCTCACTCTGAACCCAGACTAGTGTGTTAGGAGTTGTCAGCGGCCATCACTAGGGTAGCAGATTGGCTAGACGATATTTTGGATTTTGGATTGGATTTTTATTTATAGTGGTGACTATAACAGACAATTGCCTAATAACAATAGACCCACTCGAGGGAAAGATGCAAAAAGATATGAATAGTTAATATAATAGACTACCGGTATTGGACTGCTACTGAATGCGCAGAAAACCCAGGTGCTCTTCAAGCCAAGCCCAGATGTGCAGCCAGTATAACCGGTCAGGTACACTGCCGACAGCCGTGGACAAGCTTACGCCATCACCACCTCTGCCAAGGACCTTGGAGTGACCATTAACGAGGATCTCTCTTGGGCTCCCGATGTCAGTCATCTCATAGCCAGCAATCGCATGTCATCACGTACATTGAAATCAACATAATTTTGCGAATCGACCTTTTTTTCAGGATCACTTTTCAACGAGGACGAAGCAAAGTCGGCCGAACGAAGCCTAGAGGAAGAAAAACACCCTCTCCACTTCACCATCACGATACTGACATACATGCGAGATGAAACAAGTAAAAATCCACAAGAAAACTGTACGGCCATCATCGCGCTGACTTTGGTCTGACTTTGGTCTGAGAATTTCTATCACGATCAAAAATGTACGAGGAGCACTCAAAAATAAGGCAGAGACGTACCTTTATCGCTCTCTACTCCTTTTTCAAGGCACAACAGTTGACTCTCCACTTTCAAACCAGGAACCAGACATACCAGTGGTTCTTTTCAGCTGCTCCATGAGCGCAGGAAATGTTCACCAAGGGGCGCAGAGCAGCATCCATTCCAGAAAAAGAGCTAAAATACGAGCGAGACTGCATGACTGAGTACATGAGTACATGTATGAGTATATGCAGAAATTAGTCAATTTCAGCGTTTCTGCTCCAAACAGCAACTAGCTTTGAATAGAAACAAGGATTACACCAAAGGATCAAACAACAACCATTTTCTGCAGTTTTTTTGCAGATGGCTTCCTTGTGCTTGGCCCAGCACGCCAAAAATCACACCTCGGAGGAGTACAAAAATTACAACTCCCAGATGTCCTCGATTGCTGGCCATGTTCCAAGAGAACACTGTGCTATTGGTCAGCTTTGGCGGCATGGACGTTGTCTGAGCTTGAAGGCCAGGCGAATTTGTATCTTTCAATGATCCAGTCACAATTAGTATTATTGTTCCAACTGCTTCCTATCCAGCATATCCAAGACCGTTCTTGATCAAGTCTGCAAACTCTCCAAGAGGGGTCTGCGGGCAACCCTCAAACAGCATAATCTCGTGCCCACAGCCCCTCTTTTATCCCTGCTTGGTGTCCCCAGCCTACTGCAACTGCTAAATTAAAAGCTTCTGGTCCTGCCTCCACCACGCAGCCAGCCCCCTGCTTCAAGTGATGTTCACACCCACCGCTCTAGTTGGCGTCCCCAGCAAAATCCGGGCAACTCGAGGGCAGCAGTCCAATCTGCTACGTGTGCCTTTTCTCCTCGGTCCCTTTGGGAGCCGTTCCATCCGGTTCGCGGCAAGTGTCCGGTGGAATGCTCTTCCCGTTCGCGTCAGAACTGAGGGTGAAAAGCGGACTTTCCGGGCTCTCACACGTGTACTAGATCTAGAGGCGATTGCAGCAGAGCAATAACTCGATCAGCTACTCTCACATACTGATCGGTTCTTTCTCGATCTCTCTCTCTACCTCTCTCTCTTCTCTACCTCCCTCTCTCTCTCCCCCTCCCCCCCCTCTCTTTCTCTTAAACACTCCCCCCTCTCTCCCACACTCTCCCTCTCTCTCTCTCTCTCTCTCTCTCTCTCTCTCTCTCTCTCTCTCTCTCTCTCTCTCTCTCTCTCTCTCTCTCTCTCTCTCTCTCTCTCTCTCTCTCTCTCTCTCTATCTATCTATCTATCTCTCTCTCTTTCTCTCTCTTTCTCTCTCCCTCTCCTTCTCTCTCTCTCCTTCTCTCTCTCTCTCTCTCGCTCTCTCTCACTCACTCACTCACTCTCTCTATTTACCTACCTATCTTCCTATCTCTCTATCTATCTATCTATCTATCTATCTATCTCTCCCTCTCTTTCTCATTTTCTCTCTCTCCCTCTCTCCCTCACTCTCTCTCTCTCTCTCTCTCTCTCTCTCCCTCTCCCTCTCTCTCTCTTTCTCTCTCTCTCTCTCCCTCTCTCCCTCTTCCTCTCACTCTCACTCATTTTCTCTCTTTCTTCGTGTGTTCTCTCTGTCATAATTATTATATCTACGACCCAAGCACGACCCAAGCTTGATTTTTCACCCTTCAGCAATCATCTACTTCTATGTTCATAATCATCAATCATCTTACCCATCAGTTTTCATACATTATTGCATGCTCTGTGTCCATACTCCATAAATTCACGCTCCATGTCTTGTGATTCAATCATTTTTATCCGCTTTCATACTTGGTCCGCGTCAGCGATATTGTCGCTTATCTTTCAGCTTTGTTTATACATTGCCAATGCTCACTTGGCAGCCCATTTCCTCCTCAATATTGCTGACACGGACCAAGTAATTATAACCTTATGCATGATTTTAATCATTTTATACATACATTTTCATTCACTCTTCATCATTTTGTCGGAACTAGGTCTCCGGACCTGGTGAGAAGGCAGAAATGCCTGTTCACTTGATGAAGTAAAATAAAATAAACAAACAAACAAACATTCAGCGGCCTAAGACCACGCTCTAACACATCTCCCGTCCTTCCTACCGAACTGTTCCGTCCCTGTGGACTCACCAGTGCAGCACAGAGAAATTGAGGCCGAACTTGATAACAATGAAGAATAAACTTTCAAAAACCCAATTTTAACCAGGCCTGAATGTACCTTGCCAGATTGCTCAAACTGACTAGTCAGCCTAATCATTGAGAAGAACATTGATCTATCCGACGGTTTACCGTGCGACAAATAATTTTCGAAATAAATAAAAGTTACTACTTGGTCCGCGTCAGCAATATTGTCGCTCATCTTTTGACAATTTGAACTTAGACTTTGAACATCAACGCGTGTACGTGAAGTGATAAAACTTGGTACGATAGACGGTTAGGCTGTCATCACACCATGGTACAAAGCGCTGCGTCTACGTCCACGTAAGGAGTTTTTGGTCGGTTGTCATGATGATCCGTATACGGGGTGAAAACGGGAGCAGAGGAAACGGGAGACGTAGACGTGGTATGGAGAGGGGGGGTATACGACTTTTTGTATGAACGTGCGTATCTCCCCCAGCCTTTTTCCGAGCGACCCTGTACTTCGATGTACGCGGGTTCAAATTTCTCCAAAAACCTGACTGCGTGTACGCGTCAAGAACTGTGCTTGTCTGATGACACGACCATCCGTTTTGGTTTTTTCACCATAGACGTAGACGTAAACGGGAGTCGGAGAACGTGGTGTGATGACGGCCTTAGGCATAGAATGACAACTAGCTATGAGGAATTTATTGTCCAAGGAAGGGTTCATACTTTTTTCGGTCCTCCTCGTCGCTGCTCTCGGCGCTGGTGAAAATATTTTTGTTCGGGATCGACTCTCTTGCTTTTGGAAGCTCATCTCTCTTCCTCTCCGCTGCCTGGCTATTTTCTAAAGAGAAGTCGATTGTGACGGTCGCCTTCTCTATATGGCTTAGCATGGGCAGAACGGCAGCCTGTGTGGTTCAAATCAGACGCCGTTCTTTACAAGATTTTATTTTGAACGACGACGACGACGCGTATAGTACTGCAAATCTCCTCGACGCGCTGGATACTCCTAGCGTTGAGCTGGAGTTAGGGGAGCTGTGATCTCAGCTTGACGGGCGATCCCTGAGATGAGCGATCTCGCCCGTTCAACACAATGGAGCTGATTCCGAGTAGCCGATTACTTTGTTGTGTGCTCTTGCCTGCACAGCGTAACACGATAATCTATTTTGATGCGGCGCTGTACCAATCAAAATCACCCGCTAGTCGTTCACGAAATCCACTCGAACTCTAGCTAGACCTTTCAAGCACTAGTAATGTATCTAACTAACCAAATAAGGGAGGAAATGGGCTGCCAAGTGAGCATTGGCAATGTATAAACAAAGCTGAAAGATAAGCGACAATATCGCTGACGGGGACCAAGTAGTAGTAGTAGTTATTAGCTCTATACAATGTGATGAATCTGGAAAGGCGCTTGTCTTCCATTGATTATTGGGCTACCGGTCAAATGAGAACGTACATCTATACCACCCGATGAACATCTAACGGGGGATCTAACGGGGGATGTTCACACGCACTGGGTTATGGACACCTGTACAACGTGCATACTTTAGTGTCTTGTGTTTAAAAAGCCTGTCTTGTATAGTCAATTGAAGCCTGGTTTCCATGCTGACATACAAATAAATACCTGGTTGAAGTGTAAGCCTGATGTACTTCAACACTGACTAACAGTGGTTTTACACACATGCATCCACACCAGATATACAAGACTATGCATGTCACAAAACCATTCAAACGTATAGAAGTAGAAAACAGTACTTTACCTTTGAAGAAATACACCAATTTAAGAAATTAGAGGCCACATGCCACGTACTACTCTTTTCTCTCCGAAACTCAACACTTGCAAGCCAGATATGAAAGAAAGAAAAAATCATCAGTCACACCACCGGCACTCGGACCAGGACCTTGCTATTCGCGAGCAGTGCTCTAACCAACTGAGCTAAAGTATGACTCTTATCCACAGTGATGGTCAATCTATCCTTCTTCAATCAATCCACATCTGGCTTGCATCATACTGGCAACTCACACCAATCAAGAGGGCCCTCGGCCATTCGCTTGATATCATGGGGAGCACATCAAACGATACCCACTTCGACCAAATACAAATTGCAATTTCAAATTTGGGCTTCACGGAGAATTTCAAAGTTTTTTTAGGAAATTAGAGGCCTCGTGTGTACTGCTCTGTTTTTTCTCGAAAAATTCAACACTTGCAAGCCAGATATGAAAGAAA